CTCCAATCGAGCACATAAGTTGTGGAGGAATCAGACGCTCCGATACGCAGCACTGAACACTGCCCGGTTTATGGGCAGCAACCACAAGACAGACCATTCCCAGAGTCTATCCAGAGCCCGTTGAAGAGCCACAGGACCTCCAGGGATATCAACAATATTCCAGAGCTTTAAGTCATCAGCAAATAAGAGCGATGGTACCTCAAGCTCCCTCGGCAAGTCATTCACGTAGACTGAGAACAGCAGCGGACCTAGGACAGAGCCTTGCGGAACGCCGCTAAGTACAGCTTGTCGAAACGAAAGACTGCTTCCCACACGAATACACTGTTCCCATCCATCCAGAAAAGCTGACACCCACTGGAGAGCGCGACCAGATATTCCATACGACCTCAACTTCAGTGAGAGTCGCGAATGGGGGACAATGTCAAAGGCCTTGACGAAGTCAATGAACACTACGTCCACCACATGTCCACTGTCTACGGCTTCAGCTCAGCTCTCACGAGCTATCAGCAAGTTCGTCTGACACGAAAATCCTTTGCGAAAACCATGTTGCTCGACGCTAAGCAGGTTAAACATATTTGAATGGTTCTCCACTATATCTCGTACTAATTTTTCAAGTAACTTAACGACCACGCTAGTCAAGCTGACAGGCCTGTAATTAGCCGGTAGGTCTTTGTCACCGCACTTGAAAATCGGGCAGACAACAGCCTCCTTCCATTCGGTAGGCAAGACACAGCTGTTGAGTGACTTCTGAAACACGCAAGTCAGAGGTCCACTGAGTTCCACTGCCAATTCGTGCAACAATTTTGGATGAACAGAATCTGGCCCAGAAGCCTTAGTTGGGTTTACCTCGCTTAGCAACCGGAGAACTTGTGACTCAGTTACAGGAATTTCATCCAGACAACAGTCCTCAGAGACTCTTGAAGCTAATTCTTTGCATGGCGTATTTGTTTCGCGGACAAAGACGCTTGAGTACTGCTCACCAAGCACGCATGCCTTGTCATAGTCGCTATAGGCATGGGTCCCATCTCCTCGAAGCAATGGTGTTATGGGCGAGTTTGCACCACAGTGTCGTTTAACGTAAGCGAAGAATTTCTTGGGATTTTTCGAGGCAGTATCAGCAAAGCCCTTTTCATACGGAAGCCGAGCCAAGCTAAGAGGTAGCCTGCACTCATTTCGAATCAACCGATACTTGTCAAACGTGCTGTTCGACGGAGCTGTTCGGCACGATCGCCAGCATCTAGACCGCTTCCTTAGCAGGCCCTTCCCCGCGGAATCTATACACGGAGGCTGCCAGTATACGCAGTTCTCTACAGGGGATTTTCGTGTTGGGGTACGGTGCCTGTGATCAGCTGCGAAAACGTCGGTCGATGGGCGTAAAGTTGAACAACTATCATGATCAAAATGGGTTCGGTCGGTTTTGACTTGGTCCAGAAATTCCCGATTCCTGGCCTTCCCCAGAACGTCCTCCAGTGAACGAGAAAGTTTCAATGTGTATTTGTCACGGAGGTATTGGTCGCGTAGGCCCATCGCGAAACTCTCACATATCCACCTTTCCAGATCTGCGTACTGAAGATCTGGAAACCCTTTGTGAGCCAAAATTCGGAGGGCTGCGAGGAAGGCATCTGCGTTCTCTGAGGATAGCTGACGCCGAGCGAAGAATGTGTCACGGTAGAACGCAACGGGGTGGCATTTGGAAAACAATTTTTGGAGGTTGGCCCAGGTCTTTTCAACGGGTGAATTAGCAGGTACGCTTATTGTTAGGAAAATCTGCAACGCTTCTTCGCTTAAGAAACTGAGGATGATCGGGCCGAGTGACCTTTCTGGCGCTGTGGCGATGTACGCGCCGACTTGAAAGTACCAGCTTTCGAAGTCATCACCCGGGCTGAAAACACGCGGTTGGCGACTGAGGGATTGGATCTGCAAACGTGTGTCCCGGACACAACACTCAATCTTCGGTGGGCTGAAATCAGTTTTGCTCATACTTGTAGAACTGCCCGCGACGACAATTTGTAATATGTTCCGCATGGCAGGTTCGAGACACGGACGAGAAGTCCCGGCTGCAAACGAACGGCACGTGAGAATCAGCGACCGAGTAACTAACACAGTAGCACGTACGAAACGGAAATCATGCAAGACGACGATGCTCTACTGAGTCGACCACGAGAACAAGCAAGCTGGACCGAGACAGATGTATTCAACAGCGCGGCATGCGAATAGCGTGGTACATGGCAAGCAAGTATATAAACAACGAGTTTACAAGGAACAGGTACTGGGGCTTGGCTTTTGATTCCTTTCATTCGTTGTGCATTCGGTCCGCCAAGCCCTGTAAAATAAGCAAAGGAGACATAAGTAATGGCGGTCAATTTAAACAATACATTGCGGTTTCAACTGTACTACACCGTTCGCAGTCGAGTAGTGCGCCAAAGGCGGAGATCGCGTTCTTGTTTCCAACAAACGGGAACTACGTCCTAACAGGCAAACCGCCTAATTCCCTAATACACAAGAAAGTTATAAGCTTAACACATTATAGAATAGTTTACACAGTCATACGGGGAAGGTTCCAGGTCGCTACACAGCCCCCCTCCTAGAAAGGAAACCGTGGGTGACACTTCGATCTACGTGAGGACTGTCCGTCGCGGGCCAGCCTTCTGCGAGACCAGGTAGTGAAACCTGATGCAGCCGCTGGAGGAGAACCAGGCGATCGGACCCTAGCGGGATCCCACCTGTGTCCTCCCTAGCGGTGCCAAAAACACAAAATGGGGAAAAGTTCATAAGCGTCAAATGTTCGCGAGTTCGTGAAGGTCAAATGTTCGTTTCAGGCTCGTCATCTCCTCCGGTTCATACAAGGAAGATAAACGGAAACAAGAGCAGTGAAAGTGGACGCGAGGGCAAAATTAAGAGTGACACTTACCGGATGAGGTAGGCGTCAAGCAAAACGCATCCCTTTTTATGTTTCCAAAATGTTTTATTCTTTTTTGGGTTTCCAAAAGGTTTTTCGTTCTTTTGGGTTTGCAAAAAACGTTTTGTCGATTTTTTTGCGTTTTCAAATGCTTTTGCAAATTTTTTTGGGTTTTCGTACGTTGTTGGCCAAAAGGGAAAAGGAAAGCAATAAGAAAAGTGAAAAAACACTAATCCCTTAATCTCGCTGGCCAATGAACGCGCCCACCCGACCTAGTCGACTTGTGCGAGTCAGAGGATGGCGTCGTCTTAGACGTCCTATCGGATCGCAAAACTGGAAGAACTGTTGAAGACGTGGCAGTTGGTTCGATGGGAAACGGCGAAGCTGAAGTGGAAGGCTTGTATGGAGCGTAATGCTTGGGTTCAGGGATGTTGGAAACAGGCGAGTCTTCCATCCTAGGCTGGGTTGATTCGTCAGAAGAAGAGCAAGGGTCTTCATCGAGCTCAGGTTCCACGTGGGCAATCTTGAGACGGTCAATCGTAATGGCTTCTCATTTACCGTGACGGACGCTGATAAACACGCGATCCTTACGCTGAAAGAACCTTCGTAAGGTCGCTCCAGTGTTCTGCGGAGATCATCGAGGAGGAGAAAAACGAATGGACAACGCTGCAGGTCTTGTGGAACAAAAGATTTACGCTGTTGTTCTCTAACGTCGGGAAGCTAGTAGTGACGCATGCTCGTGGCTAGCTGACGTGCATACTTCGCGTCGCAACGTGGAATTCTGGGCCTATCGGAAAAGAAATCATTAGATAAACGCAGCAGTTGTCCATATACTAAATCGGCACTAGACGTACGTAGATCGGCCTTTAGGGCTGATCGAATTCCAAGGAGGATCATAGGCAGTACCTCAGTCCAAATCAGCGCATTGGCGGCGCTAAGTCAGGCTTTCAGCAGTAGGTGGAAACGTTCCACCATGCCGTTCGCTTTCGGATGATAGGCAGTTGTGCGAATGGGTCGGCATCCGATGACTTTAAAGAGATCGTTAAAGGTCGAAGATTCGAATTGCGGACCGCGGTCTGTCGTCACCGTGGCTAGACAGCCGTGTGAAGCGACCCAGTGCTCGACAAAAGCGCGCGTCACGGTTTCCGCAGCTACGTCAGGGATGGGAACGGCTTCGGGCCAACGGGTACAACGATCAATCATGGTCAAGATGTAGGCCATTCCTTTGGACGGGGCCAGAGGGCCCACCATGTCGAGATGGACATGAGCAAATCGCGCTGAAACGGACGGAAAGCGACCAAGCGGAGCGGACACGTGCCGCTGAATCTTGACTTGCTGACAGGTGAGACAGCTGCGTGCCCAGCGCGCAAGATCGCGTTGCATCCCCGGCCAAACGTATCTCTCGGAGACAAGCTTAGCAGTAGCTTTAATGACTGTGTGGGCGATATTGTGGAGGGTGTGGAGAACGATACGGCGAAAAGTTTCTGGAACGACGGGTCGAGGTCGTCCGGTAGATGTGTCGCATAAAACTGTACCATCAGATGACGGCAAAGGGTGCGGGGATATCTTCAAAGAAGAATCACGGAGTTCCGAAAAACTTCGGTTGTTTGATTGCGCGGCGGCCGTAGCAGACAAATCGATTGCCTGCCCGGCATGGCCAATCGCAGATACTCTTGAAAGAGCATCAGCGACGACGCTTTGTTGACCAGAAATGTGTCGGATATCAGTCGAGAATTGAGCAATGAAATCCAGCTGACGAATCTCACGTGGTGAGTGTCGAGCTGATTGATTACGAAATACGTAGATAAGCGGCTTGTAATCGGTAAAGATAATGAAGGTGTTACCTTCAAAGACGTGTCGGAAATGTCGAACGGTAGAGTAAACGGCCAGCAGTTCGCGACTGAACGTGCTGTGCTTGACTTCGGCAGGTTGTAGGCGTCTAGAGTAGAAAGCAAGAAGTTTCCAGCATCCATTAGTATGTTGCTGTAAGACGGAGCCAAAGTCGGTGTACGATGCGTCAACAGCAACACTGAGCGGAGCGTTCGGATCAAAATGATGAAGCATAACGGCTTTGGCTAAGGCTTCTTTGCTGGCTTTGAACGCTTCAGCAGCAGCAGCAGCAGCAGCAGCAGCAGCAGCAGCAGCAGCAGCAGCAGCAGCAGCAGCAGCAGCAGCAGCAGCAGCAGCAGCAGCAGCAGCAGCAGCAGCAGCAGCAGCAGCAGCAGCAGCAGCAGCAGCAGCAGCAGCAGCAGCAGCAGCAGCAGCAGCAGCAGCAGCAGCAGCAGCAGCAGCAGCAGCAGCAGCAGCAGCAGCAGCAGCAGCAGCAGCAGCAGCAGCAGCAGCAGCAGCAGCAGCAGCAGCAGCAGCAGCAGCAGCAGCAGCAGCAGCAGCAGCAGCAGCAGCAGCAGCAGCAGCAGCAGCAGCAGCAGCAGCAGCAGCAGCAGCAGCAGCAGCAGCAGCAGCAGCAGCAGCAGCAGCAGCAGCAGCAGCAGCAGCAGCAGCAGCAGCAGCAGCAGCAGCAGCAGCAGCAGCAGCAGCAGCAGCAGCAGCAGCAGCAGCAGCAGCAGCAGCAGCAGCAGCAGCAGCAGCAGCAGCAGCAGCAGCAGCAGCAGCAGCAGCAGCAGCAGCAGCAGCAGCAGCAGCAGCAGCAGCAGCAGCAGCAGCAGCAGCAGCAGCAGCAGCAGCAGCAGCAGCAGCAGCAGCAGCAGCAGCAGCAGCAGCAGCAGCAGCAGCAGCAGCAGCAGCAGCAGCAGCAGCAGCAGCAGCAGCAGCAGCAGCAGCAGCAGCAGCAGCAGCAGCAGCAGCAGCAGCAGCAGCAGCAGCAGCAGCAGCAGCAGCAGCAGCAGCAGCAGCAGCAGCAGCAGCAGCAGCAGCAGCAGCAGCAGCAGCAGCAGCAGCAGCAGCAGCAGCAGCAGCAGCAGCAGCAGCAGCAGCAGCAGCAGCAGCAGCAGCAGCAGCAGCAGCAGCAGCAGCAGCAGCAGCAGCAGCAGCAGCAGCAGCAGCAGCAGCAGCAGCAGCAGCAGCAGCAGCAGCAGCAGCAGCAGCAGCAGCAGCAGCAGCAGTAGTAGTTCCACCTGACCGTTTTTACGCCCACGAAGTAGGTCGGTTAGTGGACTTAACAAATTGGCACAGTTGAAGAAAACGTCGATAATAGTTGAGCATGCCGTTAAAACGGCGAATATCGGCTAACGTAGTCGGGACCGGAAAGTCTCAGCTAGCGCGGACACTATCGTCTGGAGGCCGTGTGCCATACTGATCGACATGGTGGCCAAGAAATTCGACAGAAGGCTGCTGAAATACGCATTTGTCAGAGTTGACAGTGATGCTATTAGCAGCCAGCCTATCGAAAAGAATTTTGAGATGTTCTGCGTGCTGTTCTTTAGAAGCGCTGGCAACTAGGATGTCGTCGATGTATAGATAGACGAAATCTAGACCTCTAGTGACTGAATCGATAAATCGTTGGAAAGGCTGGGTTACGTTGCGAAGACCGAACGGCATACGCAAAAATTCGAAGAGCCCAAACGGCGTGATTACGGCATTATTCGGTATGTCTTCTTCAGCGACTGGAATCTGGTGATACGCGCGAACCAGATCGATTTTCGAGGACACACGGGTGCCGCGCAAGCTTGCCGTGATGTCCTGAATGTGAGGAATAGGATAGCGGTCGGGAACAGTAACGTTATTGAGCGCGCGGTAATCACCACATGGACGCCAGTCTCCTGAGTTTTTGGGCATCATGTGCAGCGGTGACACTCACGGGCTTTTGGACGGGCGAACGATGCCAAGTTCAAGCATGTGCTCGAATTCTGCGCGAGCAACTTTTAACTTGTCAGGGGTCATTCGCCTGGCTTTGGCAAAAACAGGCGGACCTTTGGTAACGATGTGATGTTTTGCAGCATCAGTGGCGGATGGAAACGGTGCCATTGCACGAAAGACTTGCGGGAATTTGGTATTAAGCATCTGACCGATAGGTGAGCTTGACTGGTTGGCGTATACAGAACTGATTGACTCAAAGTACCTATAACTGCCAGATTTGTTTGACGATCGATCAGACGGCGTTGCTTCGCGTTAACAAGCAAATCGAAGTGCTGCAGAAAGTCAAGGCTACGAATTGGCGTCTGGACATCTGCGACGAAAAAGATCCATTTAAAAGAACGTCGTAAGTTTAAATTAAGCGTGCGCGAGCGTTGACCATACACGCGAACGGTGATGCCGTTTGCTGCGCGCAATGAACTAGTCGCCTCTTCGATAATATCATTAGAAGCACGTGGGATAACGCTGACTTCTGCACCGGTGTCAAGGAGATAGCGTACTCCCGTACTGCGATCGGTGACAAAGAAAAAGTGACTGGGGCAATCAGTAACGTCCGTCGCCCCTACGTGCTGGCCGGCCCGTTTCCCTGCGTGTTGCGCTTGAAGGAACAAGGCGGGCGACACGACCTGGCCTGATGACCGAATCACTCGTGGTACCAATAATAGCTTGACCTAGGGGGGATTTCGAACGTGATCTAGGACGAGTGCGACTATTGGGACGATTTCGGCGGTTGGATCCGGACTGCGTTAGGTTCTCTAGTCGGTTGGTAAGTGAGGCTACTTGCGCTCTTAGTTCTGCTACCTCTGTACTGGGAGTGGACTGAACCTGAGATACTTGGGCGTTGCATTCCCAAATATGGTCGGCTATGTCGGCGAACTGAGAAAGAGGAGCATCATTTGCATACAAGGGGTTACGCATGTCGCGTGGCAGGCGACGAAGCCACATCTCTTTAAGGAGTCGCCAACAGAGAGAGGCTCAGCTAGAGCCTGCATCTTCTGTAGCAACTGAGAAGGCTTTCGACCACCTAGCTCGGTTTCGTTAAGAAGGTGCGAGCATGGTCTGATATGCTGAATCGTTTTAAGACTACGGCTTTAAGCTCATCGTAACTTTTCTGATATTCAGGAAGCTCCAAGTTGTCGTCGAGGTCATCGACGACTTGCGGAGGAAGCGCTGCGACAACGCAGTGACATTTGACACTGTCAGAACTAACGCCATGTAACGAAAAATGGATTCTAGCTGGGTAAACCAGGCTTTAGGATTTGTCTTTCGGAAAGGCGGGATAGGGAAACGGAACCCACTAACCTGCATCGGGAGTGGCTAATTTTTGACATGAAAAATTGGCCTGCAGGGACTTTGTGTTCCGGTACAAGTTCAAGATCAAGCGGGACTGGAATGATAGGATTATCCCGTGAGTGTTCCTTCTTCGGCGGGTCGTTGAACCAAAAGTTGGCGAACTTTGAAATACTGATGGACCTAAAACAAAGACCGCATCACACCCTGTCCAACCAATTAATGCCCACGTATCCTGCCCTAGCAGTCCCTGCTGGGTCGGTTACGTGAAGTAAGAAAGAGAAAAAAGTAAACTCAGAAGGCAAAGGAGAAAGTATTAAGAGCTAAGCAAGTGGAATACCAAGCTATTTGAGTCATTAAAAAAAAGAACTGAAAAGTGAAGGTGAGTCAGCTAGGAAAAAGGAAAGGTTTGCTGTTGCCACCCAAGAGCATCGAGCTGGCGCGCAAAACACTTAACCGTAGATTCCCTAGCCACGTGATCTGGAAGCGAATTCCAACGATCTATAACTCGGCGCGATAGACGAGTTTCCGTCCTAATCCTATCAGACCGTGGTTTATGCAGTTTCAGTGGGTGACCGCGGAGATTAGGTAGCGTAGCGGGACCAAATAGCCCTGACAAGTCCGGGCCAATCTTACCCGTCAAAATACGATAAGTGAGAATCAGGTCCCCTCTTATCCTTCGGTAGTGCATTGAGTACATCCCCAAACTAAGCAAGCGTTCAGGATACGTCTGTCCCCGTAGACCCTGCACTAACCGAGTGCCCACTCGTAACACCCTCTCCAAGTCCATTTTGTCTCGGTTAAGACATGGTGGACAAGCCTGAATACAATATTCCAGGTGAGGTCGGACGAATGCGGAAAATAGCTTTACAAACAAATTGGTCGTTAAGATTCCGAAAGAGCGGCGCGTGAACCACATCATACGAAACCCTCGACAAGCAGCCTTCTTCCAGTTGTCCCCAGAATGAAGTGCTGATGCGTGTACGACTCCTAAATCAACCTGCTGAGTGACAACAGGGAGTTCACCACCGCCGACAACATATGGGGTGGGAGGATTTGCAGCTCTGATTCGGAGAACAGAGCACTTGGCCCTATTTATGGGCATCAACCATAAGGTAGACCATTCCCAGAGCCTATCCAAGGCACGCTGAATTGCCTCAGGACCCCCCGGGATATCCACAATATTCCAGAGCTTAAGGTCGTCAGCAAACATTAGTGATGACACCCCTAGCTCTCCCGGCAAGTCATTTACATAGATCGCGAACAACAATGGCCCCAATACCGAGCCCTGCGGAACGCCACTAAGGACAGCTTGCCTGAGCGAAAGGCTACGCCCCACCCGTACACACTGTTCCCTCCCCTCCATGAAGGCAGACACCCATTGAAGGGCGCGACCAGATATCCCGTAAGATCTCAACTTTAGTGAGAGCCGAAGATGTGGAACAGTGTCAAAAGCTTTCGAAAAATCTACGAATAGCACGTCTACAGCGTGGCAACTGTCTACCGCTTCGGCCCAGCTTTCACGAGCTACAAGTAGATTAGTCTGACATGAAAATCCCTTGCGGAATCCATGTTGCGCAACACTGAGAAGGTTGAATCTATTCAGGTGGTTCTCCACTGAATCCCTTATCAGCTTTTCAAACAACTTGACTACTACGCTTGTCAAACGGACAGGCCGGTAGTTCGCGGGTAGAGCGCTGTCACCGCCCTTAAAAATCGGACAGATGCTTGCCTCCTTCCATTCCGAAGGTAGGCTGCAGCTGTCCAGCGATATTGAAAACACGCATGTGAGCGGACCACTCAGCTCAGTGGCCAATTCATGCAACAGCTTCGGATGAATTGAATCAGGACCGGAAGCTTTAGAGGGATCAATGCCTTGCAGTAGCTCGAAGACCTGAGTCTCCGTTATGCTAAATTCAGCTAAGCAAGAATCCTCTGGAAGTCTTGAAACCAATTCAACCTGTGGTAGAGGTCTCCCGAGTATACTGATCACTCAGTATACAAGCCTTGTCATAGTTTGCGCACGGGTCCCGTCTGCTCGCAATAAAGCTGGTATAGACAGTTTTGCCCCGCTGCGTATTTAACGTAAGCAAAAAACTTCTTGGGATTAGCTGCGGCCGAGTCCGCTAAACCCTGCTCGTATTGAAGACGAGCAGTTCTGAGATGTTGCTTACATTTATTTCTATTCTCTCGATAACTATCATAGGTACTGGCTGATGGAGCTGCTTGGTAGGTTCGCCAGCATCTAGACCGTTTCTTGAGTAGGTACTTGCCTGTGGTATCTATCCATGGAGGCTGTGCCCTTAACCCTCTTTTCCTAATGAGTGGAATATAGGGTGCGGAAACCTCCGTAAGGTATGCCTTAAATTTTTCCCAGGCTAACTGGACAGAGTCAGCCATCGAGATCTCACAGTTCAGAACTGAAGCCTTAGTTCGCATTGCACTAAAGTCCGCCCGCCAAATATTCGGAAGTAATTCAACAGCGGTCTCTTGGTGCCTTGAAAGAGCACATCGAAACGATATGCATGCGTGATCGCTGGACCCTAGAGGTGCACCGCATGAAACGTCAGTCACGAAGTCCAGGGACTTAGCGAAAATCAAATCCAAAGTAAATGGTATTTGGTTGTCCATATGCCTAGTGGGAAAGTCAACGAACTGGTGCAAACGCACTTGGAGAGTCAGTTCAAGGAAGTCTGCACCGAATGTTCCTAATGCCGAATTGCAAGAAAGATCGGCCCAACAGACTTCCGAGAGGTTGAAATCCCCTAGAACTAAACACTTATTCGCATACTGAGTGCGAATAAAGTCAAGTATCCCCCTAGAGGAACTTCCAGGACTTCTGTATATCACTATAACTGTAAGCTGGGTGGAGGAAGTGCACAAAACAGCCGATAGGGCTTCAACAGTCTGATCCGACGACTGGAATGTGCAAGTCCTCAACACATCTAAGTTACAGCTCAAGTACAGTACA